GTGAGCCCCGGCATCGTCCCCACGTAGCTGCTGCCGGGGCTGTGCTCAGGCAGCGGGTACTCAGTGACGGAGCTGTTCAGCCGCAGCCGCTCCATCTCCAGGAAGCTGCCATCCCGTGCGCTCCTCGTCGTGATGTTCAACTGGGGACAGGAGACAGAGCTGGAGGGCAGCAGCTGCGACCTGCCCTCTGGGAACCTGCCCATGGCACAACGAGACAGAGCAAAGCATCCCTACAAGCCTCCCCTTCCCTGTGACTGCCCCAGCCGTGCAAGGCTCCCGGAGAGGAACCAGCAGGAGCCTTGGCCCCATGCGTGGACCTCAAAGCAGACAAGAGGAGGAGAGGAGAAATTTGGAGCCAACACTCAAGACGTCAGAGCGGCTGCCTCTGTGAGCAAAGGACCAAGCCTCTGTGAAGAGCTGAGGGCAAGAGGGAGGCCGTTCCTTTGAAGAGGTGTATATATGTGTAATGAGCCCAAGGCCAGGTCACTGGTATGGTATTGCAACATCGCAGGCACTGTGCTGACGTCCCCCACAAGAGGAGCCCTGAACTTCTCTTTCCTCCTGTAGGTCACCATGGCCTTCCTTTCCCCACTCTCCTTACCTGCCTGCAGAGAGCTCCAGGCAGGGAGGCACCTGGCAAGGTGAAGGGGATCGCAGGGAATCTGTGGTCCCCTGGTACCTGGTATCCGATGATCTCCCCTTTGCAGGAGGGCAGCAGCTTCCACCGGAGGGACCCCGTGCTGGGATCCAGCCACAGCTTCTTTGGTTTGTCCGGCACTGGAAGCACAGGAGGACGGGGTCATGCATGGGACCAGCAAGAAGGGGCTGATCCCAGAGCAGGGTGCAGGCAGCTCCTGGCCCAGCGGAGAGCGAGGAGGAGACATGCTGTGCTCCAGGGCCCTATACAGCCCGTTCTATTGATTCCCACAGGATCTGAGCAGCCCCAATCCCAGGACCATCACTGCAGGGAGCGGATGATCAGGTTGAGCTGACGGGCGAGGGGCACCTTTACATTTCCTGTAGGTGGACACATACCTGTTTCCTTTGTCCTGAGGAGCCGTGTGTACAGGACCGTGCTGGGCGGCAGGGAGATGGTGACACTGTAGTCAGTGAAGGGCTGCAGAGGGGGACAGGTGAATGTTCCCTTCTGGCCGTGTAGCGTCTCCTCTCCTTTCACCTCTTCAGCCTCACAGGGAGGGGAGGAAGGCCCTGCCAGACGGCACGTGGCCCGCATGCGCTGGCAGGCGTCAGGGAGCCTGCAGGTCCAGTTCAGTTTGATGCTGGTGCTGGAAATCTCCAAGGTCCCGGGGACAACCTGGAGGACCTCTGTGAAGGAAACATTGCAAGAAGGTCACTTCCTTCCCTTCCCCTCCCAGCCTTGCAAAGGTGCTGCGGTCAGACAGCTCTGCTCCCCACCCAGCTGAGTGGGAGGGAAAGCAAGAGGCTGAAACTGGTCACTCCAACTCTGGTAGGGGATCAGGAGGAGTTTGGGGTCATGGTGTGCTCAGAAGCTGGATGTGACCTTTTGGGAGAATTCCCCCAGTGAGGCAACTGCCCCCATTCCGTCAAACATCAGGACATGGCAAGGGAGAACAGGGGGAAGTGCAGGACACTGTGTCCCCAGCTGGGCTATACCACAGATCACAGGGAGCAACAAAGAGGTCCCTCTGCCCTCACACCCTCTGAGTTGTGTGGTTGGATTCATCCTTTGGTGCCATGGGAGAGCACAATGAGACACAGTTCATCCTGGCCTTGCAAGAGCTGCTTCCATGGTCATCGGGCCTCATGGCACTGGGCCCAAGGGAGAACCATGACCATCCCGTGCTGACTCTCGCCCAAATTCCCAGCATCCTGCCCCTGCAAAGTACCATCCTGCTCCTGATGCCTCCCTTACCAATGCACTCCACGTTGGACCGAATGCGGACCCAGCCACCTCTGCTGTCCCTTCCACGCCAAACTTCTCTGTATACAGGTTTCCTATGACTGATGGACTGAACTTCACTCGAACATTTGATTTTGGTGAAGGACGGCTGGAAACCCTCAGGGCAGCTCAGCATCACTTCTTCGTTCTTCTTGTAATTGTCCTGGTCTGGTGCCAGCTGGAGTCCTGAGTCCCACTGGGGCCTTTGGCACATTTCTGGCAGAGGTAAAAGTGGGTGTTAGTTGGGGTTTGAGGTGATGAGGTGGTGCAGGGGTGGCAGTAGGAGGGAAATCCTCGGAAATCCCTCCAGCCCCTGCAGGGAGAGGGAAGGTGACACGTCCATCTGCCAGGACATGACCCCTCAGCAAGGCTTGTTGGCAGGGGGCTCTCCCTCTGTACTGCTCAGGAACCACTGCAGGAGTTGCCAGCTTGCTCGCTGGCACTCTCTTGTCTCTTGCCTCCTGCCTGGGCTGTCCTTTTAACAGTTTGTACGGGCAACACAGCACCAAGGAGGGACTGTGGCGTGCCTGCAGCTCAGCTGGGCAATGTCACAGCCCGCTATCGAGGGTGACGGTAGAGAGGGAACATGGGAGAGCTGCTGCTGCCTCACTTACCACTACACCCTACGGCCCCCTCAATGATCATCCAGGCACCTGTGCTGCTCCTGCCCCACCAGGCATTTCTGTAGGCTGGTTTTCCAGAACTCACTCGTAGAAATTCCCTTGCGCATTTGACCTTGGGGAAGGATGGCTTGAGATCTCCAGGGCAGGTCAGCGTCAGTTCTTCATTCAGTTGTTTGTTGGTTTTTTTGCTTGGTGCAGACTGGACTCTTTTATCCCACTGGGATTTTGGGCACTTTCCTGTCAGGGAAAAAGTGTGAGAGTCTTTCTTGGGGACAGGGAATGCTCAGGCAGGAGGGGGACCGAGGCTTTCCTATGACAGATTGTGGTGTCAGCATTCAACACCATGAGGAAATCCAGGGGCCACCAAGTGGAGGAAAGGAGCATGTGCCCGGGCAAGGTGGTGATAAAGGACACAGGGAGAGAGGTGAACTGAGGGGCAGGATCTGGCCTCCTCCAACTTCCCCATGGCCTGCAACTCAGGAATAGACCAGGAGGAGATGCAGGGACAGTGAGAAAACCTGTCCCACACTGAAGGCTTCTGTCTCTCCCCATCTTGGAGACTGCTCCCAACTGGGGCCCATCTCTGAGCTGTGGCCAAGGCGTCTCACAGATATGGCAGCATGTCCAGGGTCCCTCCTTGGAGGGAAGTACATGTAGCAGGGGAGACCTACTGCTTCCCCACTTACCGGTGGTGCAGGTCAGCTTCTCTGCCACCCCATGCCACATTCCCTGAATGTCCTTCACCTCCCAAGCATCATTCCAACCTGGAGACGTCCCTTTTGCACATCTGATCACAGCAAGGGGAGGAGCGTCCTCCATAAAGCAGCTCAGTGTCAGCTCTTCATTGAGCCCGTAAAAGCTCTCGTTTGGGGTAAAGCGGAGATTCGAGTCCCACTGGGGCTGCTGGCATCTCTCTGCACAGAGGAGAAGGAGCAGCTGTAAGCAGGATGGGAAGGGGCCTGTTGTGGGGTCTATTGCCCTGACTTTAACACTGTCCAGCTCCTTTGGTTACCACATTCAACTCCACTCTTGCAGCCTAGAGCAGAGTTAAGGGTGGCGGCAGGCCACCCCAAGAGCAGTCCCATCCATCCCTACAGACGTGTAGGCTTCCCCACTCAGGCTCAATTTGCGTAAGGCTGACCAGGGACTGGGCTCCTCCCCAGCCTTCACACAGACGTCCTTCCACTCCCACCACCTCAGCCGTATGCCCAGGCACTGTTTGAAGGCATGGGCCTTACAGTAGCCCCCAGTGCCGGGGCCCTTGTTCCTGCCTTTGAACCCCTCCCCAGGAGCACAGACCCTGGCAGCTGCCTGTGGCAAGCTGCCCTTGCACTGTAAGGATGGGGGGGGGAAGCCAAGGCATCCAGGTCCCCCATTCCTGGACTGCCACCCAGGTGGGGCTGAAGCACAACCGTGTCACGGAGGGTCTGACGCCAACTCAGGACCCCGGGGTCAGGGTGATGCGGGGCTGTGCTTACCCTTGCAGGTGGCAGTCCCGTTCCACAGGGTCTGGGTACCGCTGGAAATGCATCTGATCTGGGGGACCGATGGCACATACTCCCCGGCACAGCTCAGCTGCACCAAATCGTTCAAGGCATAGTTGCTCTGGTTTGGGGTAAACCGCAGCTTGGGGTCCCAGTCGGAGGGAGCGTTACATCTTCCTGTGTGCAAACGCCACGAGGGAGAGCCCTGAGGATCACTGGGCTCCAGCAGCGTCCTCGGGGGTGAGGAGGCCCCGTCCTGAGGGGTGCTGGTCCCCCTCACTTGAGAGGGGCGGCAGAGATGAGCACCTCCCTGGATGAGGCCCCGGACCCCAGGTGCATTAACCCTCCTTGCACCCTCAGGTGCAGTGCAGGAGGGTTACCCGCAGGCCCTCCTGCCCACCCAGGAGCTGCGGAGGGGTCCCAGCCGGCGGGAGCCAGCAGCCCGGCGGATGCTGCTCTCTCCTGCGCTCTCTCCCACAAAGACGGGGGCTGTGGCTGTGCACCAACCCCTGTGAGTCTCTGCTGGCACCACTCACCTGCATTCCCGTCATCCTGCTGGGCACTACCTGCTCACACCCACGTGCACACTTATTTGCAACAAAAAGCCCACTCAAGCTGCCAATTTGCTTTTGCTCTGCAGGTTACACTCATTATTTTCTCCTCTCTGTCCCTGGCCCAAAATAACCACTGGCTCCTAGGATTGGATACCTCCTGTCCCATATCCCTCCCATCCTCACCCAGGAGGGGCAACACCCCCACACCTGTGTTGGCAGAAAGGACTCCACAGGGACTGCGGGTACGTATTTAACCAGCTGCATGTTTAGTTGCATTTTGCAACATGTAGATTGGGCAACTGATGGAAGTAAATCTTCATATTTGTTTTCCCTTGGTTTCTAGACAGGAGTGCTGCTGTCTCTCTGCATGGCACTAATTTAGGTCTCTACCCTCTGACCACACACCAATTTTCATGTAATAAGAAACGTAACTCTCTGTGAGCTCTCTTCATCCAACAGATTCAGCTGTAATTACCCAAATGTTGTCCAAAGTTACCAGGGTGCTGCCAGGCAGGCACAGTGTGTTTACACTGCCTCCCAACACATCCAAATGGCATTAGGACTCACCATGACACCATGATTGCTCTGCACGCCTCATGCAGCAGGCCAACAGACAACAGCTGCATCACCTCAGCCAGAATAAAGCCCCTGCCAAATAAATGGAATAACATCCCACCAGACTGGCGAATTGAGCAGCAACTATTTCAGACAGGTGAGAGCTACTCGTGAAGGCATTTCCAGTGTTTCATTTTGCATTTCAGGGCCCATAAATGTGCCTGTACAAAGTTTATTCATCGATGGGGATCCTTGCTGCTTAGAGTCACAGCAGAAATGTGAACAATTGTTGCTTGAAAAGAGGTTTGCGGGGCCTGACCTCAAGCAAGAAGCAGCTTGAGGAATGAAACCCCTCCGGTGGAGACAGCCCCAGGAGCTGAGGGGGCTATTAAGTGCTCATGGGCACGGCTGGCCTCTCCCAGACTGCCCCAGTCTTGACCTTCAGTGCAAAGGGGGCGCGTTGCTTTTCCTTCTGTATGTGCTTCCATACCTCCTGGTAGTTGTTACGTCCCCGCAGTGACACAAAACCCACCGACATGGCAACCTGCCAGGCAGGAAACGAGGAAGGAAAGAGAAATTCTCCTTCGCGTGCAACCTGCTGACACAGGTGCAGATTTCGAGAGATATGTGGGACGGTGTCTTCCTACAAACACCGATGCTCTGCTGGCAGGGGTGGTTGCAGCTGTACGCCAGAGCTCTGCCTTGGTCCCAGCATTCCCTGAGCCTCGCACCAAAATTTCTAGTGCCCTTTATGTCGCAAAGCATTTGCTGCTGATACAACCATGAAGGACCCTCTCTAGAGGTTTTTGGCCTTGTATGGTGCATCCTTAGAGAGGCCAGGGGTAACGCTATGTTTAAAAAGGCCACATCTCATGGTTGCTGCTTTAGAGGTGTAATACAGTACAGACGTACTGTAGTACGAAGGAGAATTAGTCTTCGTTTAAAGATTATGATTTTTTTTTACTAAAAGGTAAAAGGCTGAACACGCCTAATTTCTGCATGCTGAAATAAGGCATATACAGCATTATACTAATTATTGTTGACAGGCACTTAGGAATGATTCTGCCTTTCCCTTAGTTATAGGCGGTTCACTAAAGTACAAGCAAATAGGTGCTGTGTAAGGCTCCCAGGCTGGAAGCGGGTGTGAAAGGATCCCTTGGGCTGAGCTGGCACAACAGCCACACACTTCTCTTAAACCTGGGCATTTATCAGCCCTAGACCTTTGTCTTTTCAGTCAGCATATTTTCCCTTTTATTTTTTTTTGGGTGAAAAGGGCCTGGCAGAGGCGCAGTTTCACTCCAGGGCTTCCTCAGTCCTCCTGTCGGTGTCTGCTAGGAGGGGGTGGCAGGATGCTGCTGTGATCTGGCGTGGTTTCCAGTGCAGCATCAGGCAAGGGCAGACGGTTGAAACATGCTTCTGCAAAGACCACACACGTGCCAGCGGTTTGTCAGTGGCCACATCTGCCCTTCGGGCACAAGGACTCTATCGTTGAGCAGTCCTACAGGCAAACCCTCTTGCTCCCTCTTGGACCCGGCTGTGCCTGCAGAACCCCTTGCAGGCAGCATAGGGATGCCCATCCTCTGCAATTTGTCCTTTCCTTTCTGAGGTCTCGGAGCTGTGGGGGTGAGCATTCAGCCCCTTTTTAATTCCCCGCAGGCTCCCCTGAGCATTCTGGCCTGCCAGATGTGGCCCTGGTGTGCTCATGCATGGGGCAGGCAGCGGTTGATACAGCACCCAGACCCAGGCCGGGCATGGACCATGCCGGGCAGAGCCCAAGGGCTGGGTGGGAGAGATCAGAAAAGGCAGGCAGAGCCCACAGCTCATCCCCATCCCCAGAGGAGCCAGAGCCTGGAGAGTGCTGCTGTAGGGGAGTGCATCAGCCTCAGAAATCAGCCTGGGAATTAACGCTGTCTGACAGAGGGACGGGTATGACAAAACAAGCTTGCGTGCCTTGCAAAGGGGTAGTGTACACCAGCGAGACAGCCTGGGAGGCTGCCAAAGCCTATTTACCTCCTCTACGCAGAGGATCCTGCTAGCAGTACCCATGCTGTCACAGCCCCTCCAGGGCTGCCTCCTACCTGCACCCCTGCTGCTGCAGAGGAGCTGAAGACTTGCAGGGTGTCACAGCACCAACACCATCTGCATTCAGGCACCTGCAGCTGCTCGGAGCCCTTCCTGGTGGCATTTCTGATGACTGCTTGAGGGTAAAGCCTAGAAGTCTCTGCTTCCCCACAGAAGGGGGAAGAGAAGACACTTTCTCAAGAGAAGAGACACTTTTTCAAGAGAAGACACATCTCTTTTTGCCTCAAGAACATCGCTGACTATAACCCATTTCAACCTCACTTCTCCAATAAGCCCAAGCCTGGCAGGCATGTGATTACCACTTGAGACTCACTGGGAGAAGCTAATCCATGACTGCTGGTGCAGTAGAGATGCACAGGTTAGGGGGGACACCTCTGTTCTTGCCCTCTTTCTTACATTCCATCCCCAACCACTCTGTAACCTTTGCCGTGGGAAAAGAGCTCCCTGGAGCAAAGAAGCCTTTGCTCTAACCCAGGGTGGCTGTTTGTGTGCTTTGGTGGTGGCCACGGGAAGCTGTGTGGCACACGTGAGTCAGAGGGTATCGGATCTGCCCCAGTTTCACCAGGCTGAAGCTCACCATTTGTGCAAAGGAGACAGATGCACATGCCTGTGCACGGGGGGATGGGGCACTGCTGGAGAAGGGAGGGTGCTCAGAGAGAAAGAGCAGAGAAACACTCAGCTTCTAGCCTTGTAGGGACTAACAGCATCCGGGAGAGTAAAGAAACAGTCATCAGACAACTGTTTTTCACCCTGCACCATGGTGTGCTGGCAGCCGCCCACAGACCCTCTGCCCCCAACTATAGGAAAGAGGCTGAGACAAGTGAAATTTCAGCATGGAAAATATGGTGTAGATGTGACCAAATGGGCATCTCTTGTAATGTGCAATGTGTGCTCACTGCAAAAAGGAGAATGTTGAATGCCTAGGCAGGAGTCGTAACAAAAAGATAAGTCTGTTTGCCTCATATAGTCAGAGATTAACTGTTATGTTTTTCTTCAGTTGATGCTATTGAATATGAAATACCATCCTTGTTAAAATTGTTTAATAACCATGAATATAGTAAGCATTTTACAGAAGTATCAGGACTGCCTATCCCTGCTGCAAAGGAGTTATGAGTCTGGCGGGCAAAACAAAGCCCCAGCATGCCCTAGAAGCAGATGTCAGGGAGGATCAGGAGAAAGGAGAAATATCTATGCTGGTTAATCCAGGTCAGGCTCCTGGGTTCAGCCCTTTGCTTACCAGCAAAAGATGTACTTTCTTACATTGTATTATCCCATACATGAAGAGTAAAAGACAAGGTGAAATCTAAGGAGCAGCTGGCAAAGTCCAACCCTTTTCCCGTGGCTCAGCAGCTAACAGAAGTGACAGCAAAGCGCGCTGGAGTCTTGCTGCGTTTGATGCCATGTGCTTGTTGAGAGGAGCTAAGAAAAGCAACCACCGTTTCCACCAGCGGAGAGTGGTATTGCAAGCCACCGAGAAGACATGCACGGGTCTTAAAGCATCTCTGTACTCATCGCTAGCAGCCAAAGCTGCCCAGTGGGTCTTTAAGAGCGATGGGCAGTTTGAGGGTGGGGAAGGGGCAGAAAGACCTCGGGGCTGCTCTGCCTGGGAGCAGTGCCGGAGAAAGGAGGTGGCGAAGCAGGTCACTGAACAAGGCACTGTGGGAAGAACAGGCAAACGGCAGCACTTTAACCTGTACTGCTCTGCCATGCAAAAGAGCATCTGACAGGGTTTTAAGAACAGGAGGTGAAATACTTGTTTCCTGAATCTGTATTCTGGTAATGGGGAGTGGAAGCATGGTGGAGAACACAGTTCACAGCCCCAGGGGAGTCCAGCCCCAAGGTGCTCCTCTGCAGTGTCTCAGCATTTGTGTTCCCCACAGGATTTACTCCAGGCACTGTTTGAAATTTGAGTCCCACTGACACAAAGCCTTTCGGATTGAGTGTGGCCTTATTTTACCTAGCACCCTCCCACCCAACAGGCACTGCAGCTACGCTCCTAGTTAGGGCTCCTTGTCAGCTGCTATCAAATCACTGAGTAATGTCAAGCAAGGCTGATGAGAAAGGGGCCAGGGCCAGCCTGGATCACAGACCCTGCCTCTGCAGGGAAAACATCCCCTAGAAGCTTCTCCACCTGCCTCCCAGGCGCACTGGGACTGTAAGGGGATGAGGCTTTCGTACAGGTGCAGCACCTCAGGGGGGAGGAAAACCCTGTAAGAACAGCACAGCAAGACAATAAGGTGACAATAGGACAATGAGACAATGCACTCTGCTCAGTGCATGGTGCCCCTCTGATGGGCTGAGCAGAGCAGCAGTGCTGTGCTGGCTCACTCTTGTATCACACACACCAACCACATCCTCTGCTTGCGGCTGCTCTGCTCTTCTCCGGGCTCCCCGTAGCACTGCCGTATGCCCTCACCTCCTGCCCAGCGCTGGGATGCGACTCTGCCATCCAGCCACATTTCCTCAGCGAGTGCCAGGCCCATGGCCCATGGCCCTTTCCCAAAATTATTGCCATGCCTGTGGCTCTTCAGGAACTGGCACTGCTGGTGCTCAGTGCTGGGGGACAGGGCGAGGGGGGGAAGCTGGCCCAGA